GAAAACATTAATTCCACCCTACGAGATCCCTCAAATATCTAGATCCAGCGGGATTAAGATGGTTCAATCCCGCAAATACCTGGATTGAAATTATCTTGCAGGGTTGCATTCCCTAGTAAGTTGTACCTATTAGAGTTTCAAAATAAAACTGTCAAATAACAACAATAATACTTAATTAACCAAAAGAGCATCGAAAAAGTTGACAAGTGCATATGTGCATAGGTCAAAACTTTAAAGTAATCAATGTGGTAAATACTTAAATTTATTTTTAAACATAAATTTGATAAGAAGTGCAGGTCATTGAATGCAACATCTTTTGAGCAAATGATTCTTGTTTGTTCAATGTTCGCTTTGAATTTTCATAAAATGATAAATACGCTGTAGGTATTATGATTCAACAATTTCTATTTTAAGTTCGTTTTTCATACATGAAGGAGTTACATTATAACCAATTTTTTTGTTGTTCTCTATAGGCATGCCTGTTTGAACATAATATAGTTTCTACATTAAAATAATTATTATAATTTTTACCACTCGACTAGATAGATTTAGTATATATAGAGAAAATTCTCACTTCATCGTCAGCCTATAATGTCCCCATTCCCAACAGATGGAATAGAGAGATTGGGCCATGACCCACCACGCGAGCCCAGTGCGGATTGGTGGATGCTAACGACTGCAGATGCAGCTGGAACCAACACCTAACTTGTCCACCCAAGCACAGAGGAGCTCGAGATAGTAAATTTTTGGTCACCCATCCAATGACCGACCACTGCGAAAGTTGCATAACTTCAACGATCACAGCCGAACGCGCTAACCTCTTACACCATCGATCTCTTTGCTAACCTCTTACACGATCGATTTTCTTTCAACTTAGCCAACGCAAGGTGGTTTAATCCACTACTCGGATGAATGCGGATAAAGAATTGCATGTTTAAAATAAACTACGTAAATGTTTATATCTGTTTTGTATTATTGTACGAATATTTAAATTTATTTATTTGAAAGGCTTGGCATTTCAATGATGTGGGCGGAGCGGGATAAGCCAGGAATGAAAATTTTGCATTTTAATAATGCCTAATTAAGTAACATGTCGTCTTTTTCTATTGTTGTAAAGAGGGTGAAAGCGCCAATTTCAATCAAATTAAAAGTTACGTGTTTTGTTCCATCATTCAAATGACAATTGAATTTCGGTTAACAAAGATAAAACAAAACACAAAAGAAATAAATAATACCAGCCTAAACTCTTTTTATTAATTAGAATCTAAAGGAAATACAAAGTAATATCTTAGATAAAATTCAACTCAGCCAAAATATCTAGCCGGACTCGAACCAGCGCATTCCGCTATCCGGGCGAATGCACTAACTACTATGATGATACCCGGGCTATTAATGAGATCGAATGGACTAAACGATGTACTACCGAGACCTTAATGGACTTGTTGAATTTCTGCTAGTATATTTTTTTATTTTTTTTTTATTTTTTTTTTGCAATGTACATAAAATTATGAATCGTTAAATCTGCTTCAGTTTTACAAAAACTGTGTTGCAGAATTAACGCCCATTCCCGTTTAATATGAAACAGTGTTCCTATCAATGTATAAAATTAAAATAAACTGTATTATTACTAGAGAGGAAAATTAAAATGAGACAATAAATATTTTAGGTTAAATTTATTCAAATTTTAGGCTACTGCAATGTCAAATTCGACGCATCCTGAAAATTATGCGAAACGTCAACAAATAAATCAGTGCATCTATACCGTTGAAACTTGTTTTATTTAATGAGTCATCATCATCATCAGCCTATTAATGTCCCTACTGCTGGGGCGCAGGCCTTCCCTATGGATGGAATATGGAGATTGGGCCATGACCCACCACGCGGGCCCAGTGCGGATTGGCGGGTGCTGACGACTGCAGATGCAGCCGGGACCAACGGCTTAACGTGCCTTCCGAAGCACGGAGGAACTCGAGATCGATGGTTTTGGTCACCCATCCAAAGACCGACCACTGCGACAACGCTTAACTTCAACGATCGCAGCCGAACGCGCTAACCACTTGCGCCATCGAGATTTAATGAGTGGTGTGCTTGAAAACCTAAGAAACAAACTGTAGATATATAAAATCTATCATATTTATAATACCAAGTTTTCCTCCGTTTATTTCTTAACGAATTCCCATTTATAAGAAGAAAATGTTTAAGAACACTTATTTAAAACAACGGTTTATTTCTCAGTTCAATGATGGCGGAAATGTAAACAACTACCTAATCTGAGATAACATTTTATGGTTTTGCGTTGCATTTTTTAATGCGCAATTCGCGATGAGAGCATGCCGCTTACTAAATACGTATGCTGTACTTATATAGTTACTTACGCAGTAGGTAATATATATGTATATATATACTAGCTGTCCCAGCGAACTTCGTACCGCCATAAAAATAGGTGGTAGAAGAGAAAATCTTGGGATGTATGTATTTTTTAAGACCACATTATAAAAAAATCCTCCTAACCCATATGAGAGCACTACGTTACAATACCCAATAGTTTGAATTTTGGCACGAAGGTGCATTGTAGTTTTCAGAACACTACGTTACAGGTGGACAACCATTAGTTAGTAGATAGTAGCCGATTCTCAGACCCACGGAATATGCATTTAAAATTTCATAAAAATCGGTCAGGCTGTTTCGGAGGAGTATATAAGATATACCTATATATATTTATACATAGATATATATTTGAAAGCTATTGCTCTTAGAAATACTCCTACAATACAAACCCCATCATTAAATCTCACTCTGTAGATTTCCAACGAACTTTATTTACTGAAACATAGGGAAAGGGGGATTGACTTGACTGCCACTTACTTTGACTTGATTTATTACTTTGACCACGAGTGCTATAGAATTTGTAAACATTTTTAACACTTGACATTGGCTAAATGCACAAGCCGTGTGAAGCCATTTAGGGGAAAAAAATGCATAGATACTCTTCCCTACAATAGTGCCCGAGTGTGTATATTTATTATTCCTCCTGCTCTCCTCGCTCCTTTATTATTACTATTCATAATTATTCATTTAAAAAAATGATACAATCGTCAGTTCCGCAAATGGCACGCTAAAGTAAAGGAAATTTGATTAAGTCCATAATTTGAATAATTTTATTAATATTGGATACTTATATTTTCTTTAGTCAATCAACCAAAAAATTACAAAGATAAAATGCGTCAAAGTTTGGGAACGGCGGCTAGTGACGTCACTTCTAAGTAAAAATTGTACCATGACGTGGCGTCACGCGACATTTCTAAGCAATATATCTCTGAAATGTTTTGTTTATGTGAATAAAGAAAAAATACGTGTCCAATAGTTTTTGATAATCTACCTAACAGGCGAAAAAAAAAGCTTTTTGATAGAGTATTATTTTGACAGGCTTGTTCGAGATAAATCGAAATTGCTGTACTGGTCATGTGAGCATTCGGCCGGACAAAAGTTGTATGAAAATCCATATCTGTCGTGTTTAGAGGCCAAATAAGTTACATAGTAAATTTATATCCGTCGTCGTCGTAACTTGAAATGGAACGATCTTTAACTTACCTTAAATTTCGAACCGACTTGCAAATAGAAAGCTGTTAATTGAAATGAATGAGTGTGGTTGTTCGTCATTAATTTTGAAGAAAGTTCTGCCTAGGTACTAATTAGTTTTAATTTTCGCGTATTATTTAAGTAAAGTACTATACAAGACTTGGCCACAACTAGGCATTAATGGATTAACGTATGTGTGCCTCGGCTTCGCTTCGGTCCACATTTACACGTTCGTCCATCGATGCCTCTTTTGCTGGCCGCTGCAGTAATGTACTATAGCCATTAAACCTATTGTATCTGTACGAGAAAAATGAAAATTAAATCTATCTCTCCGTGGCCACCTCCGATTCCTTCAAATTCGCCACAAACACCAACACTACACAGCTAGCAAACTTGCACACTAGCTTAACATTAGGCAGACACCGCACCCGTAGGTTAAGAGTGCAAAGACCCGGTCTACACATGACACGCTATACCAGGTACAGGTACGTACCTGGGCGTTTTTCCCCGCCCCCCACGACAACGGCCAACTAGTGCTGAAATCCGAGCCTCAGATACGCCCTCTAGTTGAGCGGACCCCCTCAGGTTCGAGTGGTCTAAAGGCTCCAGACGGAGAGGAGACTCCCCCCAGTGGGGAGCCATCCGCCTGGAATACCTTTAGAGGCACTCGCCAATTCTCGGCTTGCGGTCCCCTTAGGACCTCGCCGTCCCTAAGCCCGGTGACGCTGTAAAGGTCATCTGCGACCAACAGCATATACCTCAAAAAAAACTCCACGTGGGTCTGGAAAACTCTACTAGTTGTTCGGAATACAGTGGCACTGTATCTAAACAGCATTTTTTTTGTAAATGTTTAAATCAAAGATACGTACGTAAATTTTTTTACGCTGTTTACAGGCCAATTATAAAACGCCAAATTCAAGTAGGTATACAGAAACAATAACAAAGAACACTAAAATAAGAGTAGGCATATAAAATAAGTGGTTATTTTCGCCCGTTTTTGTCCACAGCAAAAAAAATGCCCTTAACGCAGTATTGCCAGTGGTCTCCCGATTTTACAAGAGATCTCCTGTTTTTCTGAGATTTCTCCTGTTGTACTGTTTTTCTTAGAATACGATTTTATTTTTTAAATTGCATGTTGATTTGCATTTTCCGCCATTAATAATGTAGGTAACCTTAATTATTGTATAATAAATGTTATTGTCTAAAAAATACGAGCTTTGAGGGCGGCAGAAGCCACAGAAACACTGGCCTACGAGTATATCTTGATTTGATTTACCAACTTTAGCTTTTTTCTATAACGTCTCCCGATTTTTAAAAATCGGACCTCGAAACACTGCATTAACAATTCAAAAGAGTAGTATTGTACTTCCTATTTCAATAAAAAAATATTTTGAATTGAATTGAAAATAAAAAGAACTCACCAGTGCATTATTTGACTCTGAACTCGGGTGCGGAACGACTAAGCTCATTCTATTCCTGGAGTCTTGTACTCTCACAATTATAGCTAAGAACTCCCGCGGGAGCCTGAAGAATTCCGCCACCATGGTGGTCACGTTCACCTTAAGCCATTTCCCGACCCTCAGCTCCCTTCTGGTTAACTTCACGGAGTTATCACTATATGGCACCGACGCCTTACTTCCTTGACTATTCCGCGTCACTCTACTGACTTGCATGTTTATGGTTATGTGCTCCTCAGGGTCTATGGTCGTGTTCAGACGCGGCTCCAACTCCTGGAGGTGCAGGTTCAATACTGCCTCGTGCACCTCGTTTTGCAACACCTTGTTGCTAAACCTGAAGTTTATGATGCTAAGACCTTTGAAGTGGCTGTGGCGGCGTGTGTCTGTGGATTAAAAATAAAAGGCGATTAAAAACTCTTTGCTTTATAAAATTATACCGTTTTTTGTTTTTTTTTTCGAGTGAAGCTTTTTGAAATTTGATTTTAAATTCTTTACATAGTGCACGCACATTGTAAAGAATACTTCAAATTCCATTCTAACATAGAAATGTTGTATGTAAACATAGGATTGAAACTACTTTCAACGCTGCATGCAAAAATTAGCTCAACGTTTCCTGGTACGTAACGAAATTTACGAGTTTATCTGTACAAATAAATATTTTTTGTGTTCCTATTAGCACGCACAAATCTATGGAACATTCTCTCTTTATACATAACTGACTATAGACATATAGAATCTCAGAGCCGCCACTCTAAGGACCATATGCCATAGACTTCCTCGTACAGCCTTTCAAACTCCTTTGCGCGTGCTAAAAAGAAAACAAAAATAAATGTATAAATTTGCCGCCTTATTTTCTATTGACTTGCATCCAATAATTTTTTTTTAAGTAGTTTTTGTCAAGAAATAAAATGAAATGTAATTAATGCAATGACGAAATATGATTGCGATGATGTGACGACAAATGCGTAGTCGCTCGTGGACAGCATTGTGTTACCTGAAAAGAAAAGAAAGATATTATAAGAGAGAGAGAGACACACATTTTTTTACTTTTTTTTTATTTAAATAATGTTTACATTTATTGTGGAACACACCATCAACCACTTTACGTTTAAATTGAATTCCTAATTTTAATGAGTACCGCGTAAAAATCAAACTTTTAAGTTCCCGACACTTCCCGAACTTTCTTTACACGCGGCATTGAATTCATGTCTTTCGTTAACAAAGCGAATGTATTTTAGCAATAACTAGTTTATTTAAAAAAAAACACTTAAGCAATTTCTCGCTTCTCTTGAGCCACTATTTGCGAACTACTAGAGTCGGCTACACAGAACCATATGATCACAGCAACAGATTCGCACTCAGGCATCTAGGCGAAAAGGTAAATATCTAAAAATAAAAAAGTTCGTTCATCCACCACAGAGGCATGCAATCAATAACCACTTCGCATACATATACACCCACGTCAGCTGTGAAACGTTCGAGATACGAGAATTCTATCGATTTGTTTATAAGTCTGTCATCGGCTGTTTACAATAAAGACCTTGGTTTGTTTGTTAGAAAACAGGTGGTAGTGGTAAAAACGAAAAAAGAAATGGAGGGAAAATTTATAAGAGCCGAAGTGTATTGCCATCCCATTTTCGTTATTTTAATTCTCTGAAATGTAAAACTTAATAATTTAAAGTTAGATTTTTCTAGATCATAAGTAGGTACTTATAAAAATAGAGCGATCGAAAAAAGACTTGGTTGCTCATGCGGTTAGCACAGAACATCAGACGATGCGATTACAACAAAGACCTTGATTTGACGTATAAGGACTTTTTAATTGGTCTTTTTCTAGTTTGCAACTGTTCTCTTGTCAAACCTAGTTCTTGTATGGATTGTTTCTGCCAGTGACCACTTCCTTATTTTACTACCTTTTTTACGATGTGGAAAAATACGCAATACAATGAAACTCCAAAGAGCCTATTGAAAATTATCATTTATCTATATTTTATCTTAATACAATAGATTGATTTAAATTTTAAAAAATCTTCCATCTGTCTGTGTTGAAAAAAAATAAGATGGTTCAATGACGCAAATACCTGGTTTAAAATTATCTTGCAGGATTGCATTCTGTACTTGTAATATAATAATTATCATCACACCAGCAACATAACTTCAAATATAATGTTTTAAACTTTCATGGTCTCTAACATTATAGTAATTTATGTAATTTACGGGATTGTTACCACTGTTGCAAGCGCCATGATGATCATCATGAGTGGCGAAATATCGGAAACTCGCTAAAACTAGGTCCATGGTAACCAGTATTGCCAGGTCTCCGGATTTTACAAGAGATCTCCTGTTTTTGTACATGAATCTACTGATTTTCTTTTGTAAACTGCATGTTGCATTTTCCGCCTTTAATAATGTAAGTAACGTAAATGTTATTGCCTAATAAAGAAACGAGCTTTGAGGGGCGCGGCAGAAGCCACAGAAACATTCATTACTGACCTTTAACTTGATTTGATTTACCAATTCTAGGGGGAGGGGGGGGGGGGGGCTTGCAAATCGGAAAATACGCCTCTACATATAATTATTATAAAAATGTCCTAACCAAATCCAACAACCAATCTTGAGAAGGTATAAATAAGCCTTTTATTAAAATCGGAAGGTAAAAAACAAGCATTTATATTTCCTGTCACTTATTCCGAGTTATTGCAAATTATAATGTTCCTAGGGATGTAACGATACCAGTAAATACAAGTAACTAGTCGATACTTTTCTTTCGATAGCAAGTACTTTTCGCATCGATATTTTAGAAATGAGTAGCAAGTAGTATCGTGAAGTAAATACTTGTATCAGTACTCGGTCGGTCCCTCACTGAGCAGTATCAAAAAACTCATAGGCAGATTATTTACTCTATGGTAAGGTGTCTAGTTGGATTTTTTGTTTCGCGAACACAATCTTTTCTGCTGCTCAGTTGGCAGCCTTGCGTATGATTTATATTTTATTCCAAATAATTATAATTCAACGGAATCTCACAAATGGAATATTTTTACCCGTTTTTGCAAAATTTTTCATCGATGCTCCGCTGCTACTGATCCTAGCCTGGTAATATATAGCCTATAGCCTTCCTCGATAAATGCACTGTCCAATACAAAAAGATTTTTTCAAATCGGAACAGCAGAGCAATATTGCATTCGGTACAACGGGTCCTAAACTACGCAAAGAATTTTTTACTTGGAATGTAAGGTCTATAAAATTATTATGAAGAAAGTCATTGTACATACAAAATACAAGCCTTTGAACAAAAACTATAGTATACACTACAGCTCTACGCCGAAGCAAAGCGAGGGCGGGCCACTAGTAATAGTAGTAATATTAGACAGTAGAGCAAAGGGATGTACAAAAGTTTTATAAAGGACGTCAATATCTACAAAAAAGTCTGCAATACCATATGTCCAAATATCAAAGTTATGTCACAACTAGAGGTCCACTGCTGCGGTTTCACCTCGAAGCGAAGCGAGGGCGGGAAATTATTATGAAAACCCGTTCGCGGGAAAAGCGAAACGAAGTGAAAACTCGTTATTATACACAAAGTATAATACAAGCCTTTGAACAAAAACTAGAGTCTACACTACAGCTACACCGAAGCGAAGCGAGGGCGGGAAACTATTATAATAACTAGTCAGGTCATAAATTCTGTCACAAGTTTAATATAAAATAATTGAAACAAGGTTATTCATTATATAACCATTTATACAGGGTGGCCGGGGAGTTGACGTTCAAGCGTAAAATTTAGATACCTTATGATGAGGAGTATCCAAATCACCCCCATGTATGTTCTACGATTTTGCGTAGTTTTCGAGTTATAATATGTTTAATGATTTTTTTCGTAATTTTCACCTAACATCAGTTTTCGATTTTTTTCTCATTCTGTTGGACGTTTCTGGTTCAGTTTTTTTGTGATAATTAACTAACATAGTCTAACCTAGCACCCTAAAACTTATGGTTTATCTAGGCATTGCAGAATTCACTTAGAATTTGTTCGAAGGTTCAAAATTACGATTTGAGCTCAGTACACACAAATTTTCAAAGTATCAAAAAAAATGTAAATGGGATTTGGAGTTGAAAGTGCTTTTAGAAACTTCCTGAGACATTAAACTTTAAAACAAGGCCAAATAAAGATAGGGTTAAGGGGAGTTTATTTCCTGTAACTGACCTTCAAAGTAAATTAAGGCATTTTCAAAGGAAAAAAAATAATTATTTTATTTTATTTAAATCTTTGACTTTCTATGAGTTATGATGGATTTGAGTAAAACGCAGTTAATTGTTAACAAAATACATTTATTTAAAGCAAATTTTCAAAATTTCGCCCTCCCACAAAAATACACAATCTACATCTGCGCAAAAAATTATGTTTTAGGTGCCTAAAAGCTTCACGGTTATTTTTCACAGTGGTTTCAGCTTCAGAATTTTTGCTCTCAATTCTTCTTCGCTCGAAACTTCTCTGGCGTACGCAATTTCTTTAAAGTAGCCCCAGATAAAAAAATCAATAGGGTTGAGGTCAGGCGAGCGTGCTGGCCAGGCAATTGGCCCTCGTCGTCCCATCCACCTGTTGGGGTAGGTCTGGTCTAAATGACGACGCACTTGTATCGCGTAATGACATGGTACCCCGTTGTTCTGGAACACCATCGTTCTTCTTAATTCAAGATTTAAATCTTCCAGTAATATGGGTAGATTGTCTTCTAAAAAACTTTTGTATGTGTCGCCGTCTAATCTCGATGGCAGTTCAAATGGGCCCATTAATTCGGCATTCAAAACACCAGACCACATGTTCACGCTAAAACGATGTTGAAATGATGATGGTCTGGCGGCATGTGGATTTTCAACGGCACAAATGTGAAAATTGTGGATATTGAAAACCCCAGTTCGCTCAAATCTTGACTCGTCGGTCCACAAGATTTTATTAAAGTATCCGGGATCTTCTTCCTCTTTCTGCAACATAGTTTTACAGAACTCGACTCCCAATTGATAATTTGAAGGCTGCAACGCTTGTACTTTTTGTATGTGGTAGGCGTGAAATGATTCCTCACGCAAGATATCCTGTATTGAAGATCTTGGTATGTCAAGATAACGAGCTAATGCTCTCGTACTTGTACTACAATTGCGTTGCACTTCTTCCAGTACGATTTCCCTGCGTTCCTGATCAACCCTCTGAATGCCTTCACCGCCACGTTGGCCAGGAATGCGGCCTGCCATTAACGTATTGTGAGTATTAATGAACACACGATAGTCAGGGTAATGATCAGGTTGCGCTCCGCCTCGGCATTGAAGTTGATCCCTGTAGAGTCTTGCTGCTTCACGACCGTTGCCTTGTGCAACGCCGTAGAAATAATGCGTTTCTGCATATTCACTCAGAGTGTAGGGGTACTAACATTTCCAAGTAACTACAATCCAAATCGTTAGGCACAACGGAATCCAGTAACAAGCAGGGGTCAAACAAGTAAGCAGCGGCGGCATCAGTAGGCAAATAGTGGTCGAGAAAAAACGGCAGAACAAGACGAGTAGTAGTAAACCTCAACCCTATTGATTTTTTATCTGGGGCTACTTTAAAGTAATTGCGTACGCCAGAGAAGTTTCGAGTGAAGAAGAACTGAGAGCAAAAATTTGCGAAGCTGAAATTACTGTGAAAAATAACCGTGAAGCTTTTAGGCACCTAAAACATAATTATTTGCGCAGATGTAGATTGTGTATTTCTGTGGGAGGGCGAAATTTTGAATATTTGCTTTTAATAAATGTATTTTGTTAACAATTAACTGCGTTTTACTCAAATCCATCATAACTCGTAGAAAGTCAGATTTAAATAAAATAAAATAATTATTTTTTTTCCTTTGAAAATGCCTTAATTTACTTTGAAGGTCAGTTACAGAAAATAAACCCCCTTAACCCTATCTTTATTTGGCCTTGTTTTAAAGTTTAATGTCTCAGGAAGTTTCTAAAAGTACTTTG